CATTCGGCACATTAAGGATGAGTAAAATTTGTAAGAAAGGAAAGATTGCTAAAATCTTTCTTTCTTCTGTCCTGTTTTTGGTTTGTATGTGGGAATGTTTTACTTAGACATACCTGTCGTCTAATTGTATCTCATTAGATTAAACTCTGTTCTAGAAATTTCCAAGATACTTAGAAGCAGGAAAACTTTATCTGTTGATTCACTATAGTCTGTTTTTCAGAGATTTAAGTAAGAAAAATGCTTCCCTACTTTGCCCATCGACTTTCTCATTTCCAGTTCTTTGTTTACTTTGCTCCCGGATTTTTTGTTGTTGCTGTTGTTGTTTAAGACAAGTATGATCATATCATTTCCCAGCTTAAAGTATTTCTTTGGCTCTAGGCTGCAAATGCAGTAAAAGGATTCAGGGGCTTTGTGAAAGGGAAAGACCCTGAGATCTCTCCAGCCCTCCCCGCTAATGCCTGTCATCTCACCTCTCCATAAAACTTCCTGCAGTTCTCAAAAGGACACACAGCCCATTTGTTACCACGTCCTACCAAACCTAGGCACCATGCTGCCCACACTTTAAGGGTGGAGCATTGACACTCTTGTTCCTAAGGCACAAAATCCTTCCAGTTTTATCCCTCCTAACCCCAGATCCTCTCTCCCACTCCACCCTACATGTGCCCCTTCCCAAAACCAGACTAGTTCCCAGACACCTGATACCTCTTTTATCTTCACAGCTTTAGCTTTGTCTCCCTGGGAGGCAATCCTGAGTCCACCCAATCTTGATAAACAGTCACTTCTTCCAGAAAGCTGTCCTTATGTACTGAATCTGATAGTGCCTCTTCAGGGCTCACAAGTCACCCCAGGTACCAGTAATATAGAATGCAATTATTTTTTTTCATCCATGAACTCATTATTTTACCCCTCCTCTGTACCAAGTATTGTCCACCATCCTGTCACCCAGCTGCAAATAAGATACTTCAAGCACACTGCAAGCTCATCAGAGGAAGAAACAATGTCTTATTTGACCTTCTAAAAAGTACCCTTACCCTCCCTCTTTGTTAAAGGGCTGCCTATCCTCCAGCATCCAGCTTCTGTCATTGTGTTTAGTTTGTTGCTATAATTGTTCTAATTAACCCTCAACATAGATGCCTATTCTATAGACTGCAAAATGGGGGTTTAGTGTAATTCGCCCAAGATCACACAGATCCTGAGTCTCAAAAGCAAGATTGAAACTCTGTCCTGTCTGATTGCAAAGAATAAATAAATCAAATAAATAAAATTAGTAAATACCTGATGTAGCCACAAAGTGAGCATTCATTTAGATATTACTTATACCACCCCTGAGGGGGATCTGGCCTTACAGACAATCTCTGTATTTGTATTCACAGCTTCCTTCTGCCCTGCTCCAGCAGTCAGAGTAGTTAAATACGGCCACCAGGAGCAACAAGAAGCTGTTGACATTGTTGCACCTGCAAGGCAAATTCTTAAAATCTTGGTCTCATTTAGATGTCTAATTTTTTAAAATATATTCCATTTACATTTAGGAAAACACCTGGCTCTTTCTTGAAGTAGTATAAAATTACGGCATGATCAGGGTATATCATTAAAGATTAACCACAGCTCTTGCTTACCTGTCCCTGACCTCACCACACACAAACACACAGACATGCACACACCATCCATGCCTCGTTTGGAAGGTAAGGAAGTTAAGATACAGAAAGTAAAGTGATTTGTCCACATGTAGGCATCTGGTTGATGTCAGAATGGGGCCTAGAACTCAGTTCCCCATATTTGCAGACTAGCACGTTTTTACTCACAGGCAGTGACCCCACTCAAGATTCCATGAACGTGAAGACTTTTTTTTTACCTTTTTCTTTGTGCTTACTGTATTTTTAACTTTTCTGCATTGAGCACGTCTGATTCCACCATCTACATACTTGGTTACCAAAAATGCATACTTTAAGTCAATTTCTTAACAACCTGGTTTTTAAAAGATGTTAAAAGGAAACCTCTCCCATTCTACTTGGCAGCGCTTCTGTTAACCATACAAGAGCTGTCTCAATATGATTTCATTGTCCTTTGAGCCTGAAATGCAAAGCAGCAGAAATATAATCAGAATTGGTCACACCCTAAAGGATGAGCATTTATTAAGCACCTGTGATGTGATGGATTTACAGATTTACATCAATAGTCAGCGGGATATCCAAAGTCCTGCCATTTATTATTATCCTTTTGCTTCTTTACCCCCAGAGGATGTATGAACTGTCAGTGGAAATTAAAAGGAAAACCAAGTTGAAAGTTAATCTTTCCTCAGGATGTCAGTAGATTATATGGAGAGACTATATATACTGTTTACTTAGTTACTAACCACTGATTTCACACACACACACACACACACACACACACACACACTGTAGAGTTACAATTTTACAACAGTGTCTCCTAGAACCTTCCTTCCACAATACTCTCTGGGTAAAAACGGAAGTCTCAATAGGCACCAAGGTAACTGTTTCCAAGAAAACGACTTCATAGCCTAGATCCTATCACTTTTCTATATAAAACTATTTTAAAGTGTATGAAAGGAAAAATATTGCCTGTACTCAGACAGACATAGCTAAAATTAACGGAGCCACCCACCACTCATTCAGGTCAGAACTGAAAGAACTTTAAAATCCGGTGTGGTATTTTTTCCTTCTCCTTCAGCATATCCGGATGGAATCAGAGAAATGTGTACTGTTATTTATCAGTGAGATTTGACATCCGAGGGTTCTTCCGAAGGCTGCAGCTTTGCCTGTGTGTCTGGCAGCTGTGGGAGAGGCTGTGCAGGGAAGCGTGGCCGGTCTTCTGTTTCAGCCGTGCTGAAAGAACTAATAATGTCATCAGTTAGCAACTAATGCAATAGTTGAATCACTGTGGCTTTTAGAAAATGAATTTTTTTTGCCTGCCCGTGGGTCCGCCCTCTCTTCTCTTCGAAGCAAACAAATGTCGGCTGACATTTTACTAGCTAGAGATTGATGGACAGTGCTTTTCCCATTTCAAAAACATGGATTTGCTTTCTGGTGTCTAGTTTCTCTCCCAGTGAAACGAGAGTGTTACTGATGAGCTGTCAAATTAGCTGGCACATAATAGGCAGGGGATAAATATTTGTTGAGGGAATTAATTAATAACAGCTATCATTTACTGAATTCAAACCAGATGTGCTAGTGACTTTAGCATTGTTATTCTCACTTTGCACATGGGAAACCCACGGCCAGTAAGTTACAGAGGTGGATTCAGGACGTGGACAGTTTTCGACAGTATACCCCTCTCTCCTCTTACCTTGGGTAAGAATCCACGGGAGCCTAGGGCGGAAAAGGCCAGTGCAAGAATCATCTTGGTTCTCCTGTGTATTTGCTATATGATCTTCAGTGGTTTTTCTTTAATCTACTGAGCCTTGGTTTCCTTATTTGTAAAATAAGTCTAATAATAGGATGTATCTCATCTTGTTAGGAGAACCAAACTAGATCATCTGTGTCAAGTGCTCAGCACAGTGCCCAGCACAGAAGAAGCCCACCATCAGTATTAGCTATAAATACACACTCCTGGGGCTATCCAGAGCAACCTCGCTTCGTTGTCAGTAGACTGGTCTGTTTCTTCTTAGATAGCCAAACAGCAGTGTGCATATATAGCCTGCTTTGTTATAACGAAAAACAGAAGTTTCCGAAACCGAGGCTGAGACACATTACGGCAGAGGCAACCCCAGGCCCTGGTCTTCTCCCTGATTGTTGCGCCGATTCCCGTGCTAACTGCGGGGTCAGTGCTGCGGAGTTTATTTTTGCCAAAAAATAGAAAAAACACTTTCCCTTAGTTCACTCACACAACTGAATCAAATTCACATCAAAACAAAAACAAAACAAAACAAAACAAAAAACTTGGGTCGCCTGGGTGGCTCAGTTGGTGAAGCGTCTGCCTTCGGCTCAGTCATGATTCTGGGGTCCTGGGATCGAGCCCCTTGTCATTGGGCTCCTTGCTCTACGGGAGTCTGCCCCTACCCTGCTTGTTCTCTGTCTCTCAAATAAATAAATAAAATCTTTAAAATAGATAAAAATATATATATTTAAAATTTTTAAAAAAACACTTCACTAAATACTAAGAGAAAACCAAAAAAAAAAAAAATACAGATGCTAGAAACTCAGGTGTGCACATGTGTTTATGTTGGGGCAGTTACTTTTCTCTGAGCTGATACCTTTGGTTTTATTAATTCACTTACCTAATAGGTTTTTTCCCCTTCTTCTAATTGCCCATTTGTTTTACACTTGTATTGAGTGTTTGTTTTTGTAAAGCACCTTAAATACTTAGCAGGAAAAAAGAAGACCAGGTATAAAAAAATTGATAGATAGGAAGAGGAAAGTAAACAACTTTACAAAATTTTTGCAATTCACCTGTGGACGGAGCAAGAACACTCTTCCCTCAGCCCACCTGGTGAGCACCATCTTGTTTCCCAGCACACAGAAGTCCATAAATGTCCTGTCTTGCTCTCTTCTCTTCCGTTACCATGTCCCAGGACTTTGAGGATTGTAGTGACTCATAGAATCAAAGCTTTTACCCTCTCTGGCTCAAATTATTGGCTCCGTCTGCTTTCAGACCACTTTGTAATTAAACTGAACCCCCCTAAACAGGTGCTACCCATCACAGACTCAATGTGTCATAATACCTTGATATTCCCTTCACATAAGACACATTTCTACATATCTATGTGAGATCCATGCTTCATAAAAGGCATTCAGAGGCATTCAAGAAATACTTGTTAAATTGAGCTGGACTGAAAATATTTTTATCCTTTTCTCATGTATTAGATTTGGGATGACAGAATTTAACAGCTAAATTAGGCATAATTGAACCCTCCACTGTTTCCAGCCATTGCTTTATCAGAAATCTAGATAGATATCCATGTTTGTTATTAACTTATGTTACTATTGAAGAACTGAAATGTCTAATGAACTAAACTTAGCAAACTGCCATACTGATTTCCATAGGGATTCAAGGATATTTCTCTTGAGAGATTTGTACATGGTGGAGCCAATGTTACAGGATTCCAGCTGGTCGATTTTAACACACCTATGGTGACCAAACTAATGGATCGTTGGAAGAAACTAGACCAGAGAGAGTATCCAGGATCTGAGACTCCTCCAAAGGTATGTGTTTACAGTACGAGAGCCAAAACAAGAAGGCAGAGTGCTATCTTGCTTGACTGTGGCTGGGTGTGTGTGTTGCATGACTCAAATTTTTCACCACTCTACCCACATCTGCAAATGACTGCCCACAAGGATTGATTTGGGGGTCACAACCAAATTTTAGCAAGTAGGCAAATTTACAAATACAGGATCCATGAATGAGGAGGATCAAATGCACTCCCTTGAATTGTACTTGATTTTTTTGGTGTCTCATCAAAGATGTAAAACATGATTTCTGATCTTGTGACTCCCTGCCCTAATGCAAAAGAAATCTTCTGGAATAAAGATGTTCCACAAGATAGGCCTAGCAAGTCTTTCCAGTCAGATGTGCTTTTGCTTCCTGTCTGGCCAGCCAAATTGAACTGCCCTACATTTTCCCCTCCTACCCAGTCCCTCTGCTCTTGCCTGGACCTCCACTGCTCTCCACTTCATTTCCATCTGTCAAATCCAACCACCTACTGAGCGTTTATCTCAAATGCTGCTTTCTCTATGAAGCCTTTCCTTAGTTTTCCAGAAAATATGAGCCTTTCCGGCTGTGTGACCTCCATAATATTTGACTGTGTTATTCTCACCAAGGACTTACCATAATTTTTTATGTACTTCTTGTTTCCCTTCTCTAAACTCCTATGGAGCAGTAACGATCTGGGACCCATCCTTCTTGTCCTTGCAATTCCCAGCCAGTGTCCAGCACCTTTTTCAAAGAGCTCACAGATACCATATGTTATTTCATTCTTCCAACCACCACAAGAGATAGTCACTGTTATCTTGTTCGGTTTGGTTTTGCTCTGTTTTGTGTTCCATAGCTGAAAAATGCACACATTCCCGTAAAGCTATGAGTAGCAGAGTTAGAATTCATGGAGTTCTTTCTTCTCAAAGCCCAGACTCCTGGCGTTGAGCTATGATTCTGCCAAACTCTGTCTTGTTATCTGCAAACCTTAGTAAACAGAGCTCACTTCTCCATTGCAATCACTAATTAAAGCAGGAAATAACTCTCGGCCAAGACCTTAGTTTTACCCTGCCCTAAAATGAAGTATTTATTCAATAAGAATTTTCTAGATGCCATCTAGAAGTATGCGCCCATAAATATGATTTCTTGGACTTTAACACAGTAAGACATGTGGGAGGGAATTAAATCCCTTGAAAAGGTAAAACCTATTTAAACTTCTGCCTCTTTCCATGTCTCAGCTCTATGACCTCTCAAAGGTCTTTGCTGCTCTAGCTGGCTATCTGCTCTGTTCTGCCTCCCTCTGTATGATATCTGCCTCCCTCTGTTTGATATCTGCCCCCCTCTGTATGATATCTGCCCCCCTCTGTATGATATCTGACCCCCTCTGTATGATATCTGACCCCTGTATGATATGTGCCCCCCTCTGTATGATATCTGCCTCCCTCTGTTTGATATCTGCTCCCCTCTGTATGATATCTGCCCCCCTCTGTATGATATCTGACCCCTGTATGATATGTGCCCCCCTCTGTATGATATCTGCCCCCCCCCATATCTGCCCACCTCTGTATGATATCTGCCCTCCCGTATGATATCTGCTCCCCTCTGGATATCTTCCCCTCCATGATATCTGCCCCCCTCTCTATATCTGCCCCCCTCTATGATATCTGCCCTTTTTCCTGGTTCACTTGTTTCATACAAATGCATGGACTTCTTAAAACACAGCAAGTGCATTTGCTTTTTGGTACCATCTCTTCTCAGCTTTTTCCCCCATATTAAAAAAGCAACAGTGTTTTTTTCCTTTTTCCTTTCTTGATCCTAAAATACGAGCAGTGCATTCTTCTCATGCCCTTTATGTCTTTAGTAAGTTCTCCTTTATTTCTTTTTTTTATTTTCTGTACAAAACAAAACAAACAAAACAAAATGATTTGGTGGCTTTCTCTAGTCAAAGATGTGCTTGGTCCATGCAGGGGAGGAGGTACATTCCTGTTTGGTTTCGCACCTTGCTTAAACACCTTCATTTCCGTCAGCCTCCCCATCCCAGTGGTGGGGGTGTAAGCCTGTCCATAAATCTATTTTGTCACGTCTTTGAAGAATGTATTGCAAGGCTGTTAATTTATATGTCCCACGTACATCTTTCTGATGAAGCTTTTTTTTTTTTTAAAGATTTTATTTATTTATTTGACAGAGAGATAGCGAGAGCAGGAACACAAGCAGGGGGAGTGGGGGAGGGAGAAGCGGGTTTCCTGCCGAGCAGGGAGCCTGATGTGGGACTCGATCCCAGCACCCTGGGATCATGACCTGAGCCGAAGGCAGACGCTTAACGACTGAGCCACCCAGGCACCCCTCTGATGAAGCTTTTTAACCAGGTTCTCTACCCTTGAAAGGTTCTTTGTTAGGATTTCTCTTCTTTATCTCATCCACGTTTCAGCCTCTTTCCCACAATGCCGGCTGGTGTGCCTACTACTCCTGGGGCCTAAGTTTGCTTCCTGCAATTTGAACTTCAAATGATTTTTTTTTTCTTTTGCAAGTAGCCAAGCAAGGAGATCATCCTCCATATTCCACAGCACAGAACTACCTCTGGCACAAGCTTAGAATGTATTCCTCCCTGAAAACTGACAGTATGGATTTCCTGAAACAGATCGTGCAGGTTTTTGGCCATGATTAGCCGTTGGTGCTCTGCGGTGCTTCGGGAAAATTGTCCCCTCTTTTCCACGTGTTCAGGAAGTCCCTAGTCAAACTGTACAGATGTTCCCTGTTCCTTTTATTTTCAGCTTAAACTTAAGTTACATTTTCTTCTGTTTTTCCTCTGAGTAGTGCTTTTCCTAGCCCGAATAATGTTTTTCTCAAGGGCTTTGTCTTTTCTCCCAGAGAAGTGAGGGGGAGTCCTCAGAAAGCACATGGCGTGCACTTCACTTCTCCACCCTGGCCCTGGGTTACAGTGGAAATGGGGGTGGGGGGGGAGACTCATCACTCCCGCACACGTACTCACAACAGGTGGGGGCAGAGCGATGCTCATTCCTATGGAGCGCAGTGACCAGTGTTAAATCAGCAAGTGTTATTTCTGGCATCTTAGATCTAAGGAGTGGTAAACATTCCCACATTCTTCTGAGAAGCCAAACCCACATATACACTTCAAGTCAGCAAACAAATGTGAAATCTCAAGGAGCCGTGCTCGGCATTTCAGAAGAGGCATCCCTGCCCCTCCTGGGACAACCACAGCCCAGGAGCCAAGGCAGAAGGTGGCCGTCATGCACTTAGCCGCTTATACTTTATCTCTTGCTACTCAGACACGACAAAAAGAGGTCTTGCTTTTCTCAGCTGATGGAAAATTGTGCATTCAAATTTCTGTTCTTCAGAGTGTGTTTTCTCCTTTTAAAATCAGAGTGGTAAAGGAGCACCTGAGTGGTTCAGTCGGCTAAGCGTCCCACTCTTGATCTCAGCTCAGGTCTTGATCAGGGTCTCAGGGTCCTGATTTTAAGCCCCACATTGGGCTCCCTGGAGCCTACTTTAAAAAAAAAAAAAATCAGAGTGGTAAGATTTGGTATACATTCTTTATAATAAAATGATAATCGAAATTTCTTTCTTTTTTTTTTTAAAGATTTTATTTATTTATTTGAGACAGAATGAGAGAGAGAGCACATGAGAGGGGGGAGGGTCAGAGGGAGAAGCAGACTCCCCGCCGAGCAGGGAGCCCGATGCGGGACTCGATCCCGGGACTCCAGGATCATGACCTGAGCCGAAGGCAGTCGCTTAACCGACTGAGCCACCCAGGCGCCCATGATAATAGAAATTTCTGAAGCTAGAATCAATTAATTATCAGTAATTTACTTATCCTTCAGACAGGAGGGTGCTTAATGTCATAAGCCCAAAGAGACCCCCTGACTGTTTCTGGATTGGTAAGATTTTACCATTCACCATTATAATTACTTTCATTTTGTTAGTACACATCTGCTCTGACTTATGATGGAGTCCTTGTGATGGCTGAAACGTTCCGCAATCTTAGAAGACAGAAAATTGATATTTCCAGGAGAGGAAATGCTGGGGATTGTCTTGCAAATCCTGCCGCTCCCTGGGGCCAGGGGATTGACATGGAGAGGACGCTTAAACAGGTAACTCACAATTTTATTTAAGTGCAGTTTATTTCACAGTCCTGTTTAAGTGGCATATTCAAGAAAACGGAATAATTTATCTGAGAATAAATATATATTATAACTGCCATTTTAATAAATTAAGCCATTATCATTTTTGAGACATTTCTAAATAAAATACTGAGTAGAATACTATTTATATCTTATGCAGATGCTTAGTCAAGATAAACTAGGTTTCGCCACAGTAATAGCCCCAAGTCCCAACGGCTATGAATGTTTCTCACTCAATCAAACGTTATATTAGGAGGGGTATTCTGTGTATTGTAATCACCCAGGGACCCAGGCTGACAGAGAAGCTACCACCCAAAATGCCACAAAGGGAAATCGAGTTATGGAAGATTTCAGATTGGCGATTAAATGCTGTGGCCCAGTGGTGGCACTCATCACAGCTGTTTACAACTCACTTATTTTAGTCACATAGGCCTACCTAACTACAAGGGCTCTGGGAAGTACAGCCTATCTTGGGTCCAGAAAGTACAAGATCCAGAAATATTTTTTAAACACTGCTAATGACTACCTCAGTAGATCTTTAAATTGCCTTGTAACCTTGGATTAAGTAATTTGTTTATTTTGCTCTGTTTGGGTTATACTAACATTATTTTTCAAATGATTAATGGAATATGTATACATTTTTAATATTAATGTTTTAAACATTCTGAAATACCCTGAGTTCAGATCCTAAGTAAAAATGAATTAAAAGGAAATTTGGAATGACGTAAACTTGAATTTTTTAATATATTTATATTTTGAACTTCTTAATTTTAATATTATCAAGGAGAAATATGATCCAGTATGATTAGCAGGACTACTTAATGTATTATGTGAACACATAAATAGAACCAAAAACCAGCTATGAATGAACCATATTTCCTTTCCTATAGGCACACTTCAGTATTGAGGAAGTATTCTTTATCACATAACAAAAAAAACATATTCCTCTTTCAAGTATAGAGCAGAATTGCTTATATCCCTTTGATTTACATCTTTCAGCTTATATCCCAGCAGCTCAAATACCCTTTGGTTTTTTAATGAGTTATGTATAGTTTATAGTTCCAAACCCAATGTGTTGTCACAAGCCTCGCAGATGAAGTCAAGATTTCTGTAAGCAAAATGGCCCATGGAATATATGTATGGATTTTATTTTTCATTCATAGGTTCGCATTCAAGGACTGACAGGGAATGTTCAGTTTGACCACTATGGACGTAGGGTCAATTATACAATGGATGTGTTTGAGCTGAAGAGCACGGGTCCCAGAAAGGTGAGCTACACTCAACCTGCTTTCTTAGTTTGCATTTGACGTTCTTAAAGCCTTACAGGTAAAAGGTAGCTGAATATTCTGCATTTGTTTTTAAATGCGAATACTTACAAATTGTATTTTTTTATAATCTGTGCTGAAATAAATTCTTGTGTCATATAATTGATATGTAATGGTGTGCCAAAGCTGAAACAAACTAATTTACATACTGTTTACATCCTTTATCCAAAGTGGAAGCGATATTTAAAAAAAAAAAAAAAAAAAGACTTAGCAAAAAGAATCCTGAAAAACAAAATGTACTCTGCAGGAAAGTACATCTTGCAGGTTAAGAGACCTACTCACCTCCATGCAGTCATTTATGAAATCGTCAGAGAGAACAAAGGAAGCTATTTCTAAGGAGTGGGCTTACTGAGAACTGACTATATGTTCTTGAAATAAGTAAATTCCAATGAGCAAAAGAAAGAGAAGGTAGAAGATGAGATTATTAAGACTATCACTTGGCTAGTGGGGGAGAGAAATACTTGAGAAACTCTAATTGAGGGGACAAGGAGGTTGGGTGGGAAGCTGACAGATTCCTGGATTTTGGGAGTTAACTCCGCTGGTGGTAGGATGTGACTAGGCAGATCCGTGGTCTTCCAAACATCCAGAAAGTACCGGATGTAATGGAACCGTAGGATCCCACCCTGGTAATTGATAATGACATTTTATACCTAACATACGTAATGTTTAACATTCCTTTTCTGTAGGATTAGCTAGAATGCTCAAGGAAAAACATGTTCAGTTACCTTACCTAAAAATTCTGTCCAAACACTTGGCTGTTTTAAAAAACTTTCTCATATGTGATTTCCTGTTAGAATGTAATAATGATAGCTGTAATTTATGAAATGTCTGCTGTGTCCCAAACACTGGACTTGGTGTAATTTAATCCTCACAACAAACCTGTAATGCGAGTACCATTAGCTCCCTTTTTCCAATGAGAAAATTATAGTCCAACAGGTTATAGTTACTTGTCTAAGGCTCGTAAATGAGAAAAACAAGGATTTTAATTCAGGTGTGTCTGTCTCCGGAATGGTTCTGCATCATCATTTCACCTGAGTAGAACCTGCTCTAAAGGAGTTTACTTTCTGGTGGGGTAGAATACAAGTTCCATGACAGTTAAAGAGAAGATATGTGGAGATTCTAAAGAGGAAGAGATTACTTGCAGCTGGGAGAAAACAAATCAAAGAAAGCTTCATGGAGGAGGTAGGATTTAACGTTAGCCAGGTAGGCACGGAAGCTGGAAGTGGCGAGAACTTGAAGTGAGTCAGGGAGGGAGGACAGCTGAAGTCACAGATGGGAAGTGTCAGAGGCTCTCCTGGTTACGTTTTGCTCCAGTCTGTTATGGGACATGCTTCTGTGTGCACAAGAAGGAGAGATTTGGAGCTGCTGTGAAAACCATCCCTAGCTTTTCAGCCTCTCAGTGCAGGCTGCCAGCTAATTAATACAGGGACGCTGCAGCCTACCTGAACCAGCTCAGCGAGGGCAGGAGACAGGTGACTGCCGGGGAGCAGTGCGGCCTGACGGGCCCCCCCCAAAGACACTGCCTGCAGCGGGGCAATGAGACATGCTCCCAGAAGAAATGTACTGAGTTCCGTGTCCACACCGACTTTACCCACTCTGTCCGCACACGGCCAGCAACAGGAAAGAAGGAGGCCCGTTTGGGGCAAAATCCTGGCCGCTCTGGAGCGGACCCCAGGCCCCTCAAAATACGGGCTCACTGGTGGGTGGAGGCAGAACCTTCCTGCCAAACACCAGACATTGCTAAATTAGTCACTTAAACAGAAGCTTCCTAAAATGCGAAAGACAGTCCCATACTTCACAAAACAGTAAGTACCAAAAGCAAAATGACCTCTCTATAAAAGAAAGAATAATGTAAAAAGGAGGCTGGTGGTAATGAGTGGTAAGAGCAAATGAGTTATTTATGACACTGAATCCTGCCATGGCCTATTGGTAATGACAATTAAGGTTTTTTAAAGGGAAGCTAAAGAGGGACTGGGGAGAGTGAGGAATGTCTTCACACTCAGTTGACACCCATCTAAGACTCTTGAAAGAAATACGAAGTGTAAAATCCTGTAAACTCATCCGTCTTCGTTTTTCTGTGGCAGCGATCAACTTGGGCATTCTGTCAGGAATATTAAACTTAAAAATGAGCTACCACGAGAAACACGCTGCTGATGAAATTCAGCAATATGTCTGGAAAGTGAGCAATCTCTCTTGTAAATGGGACACTTGCCAGCAAGGGAGTTGTCCCTGAAAATAGATCAGAGTCTGCCCATCAGATCGTCTGACTGCTGTAGCAGGAGCCCTGATGCAGGGACTCGTTCTAGCTCTTTCCGAAGTCCTGGCTCTTAAGTGGGGTGGAGTTTTCCCAGCCCAGTGACCCCCCAGGGAAAGCCCCAGAACCAGATGTGCGTGCTTTCAGGAACTCTCAATTGTAAAAATTTTATGTATTGAGAGCAGGTGATAGGCCAAACACAGACATGGAAAATTGATGTGCATTTTTATATATAATCCTCACAACAACCCGAAAGTGAGATATATCTTTTCTCATTTTAAAGAAGAGGAAAAAGTAAGATTCAGAGACACTGAGGAACCAGCCCAGGGATGTTCAGCTCAAAAGACATGGAGGGGGTTGGAAACCAGGGCTCAGCTAGCTCCAGAGCTCACTCTCTTGATTGCTATGAAATACCATCAGACCTGGAGCCTGTAAGAGTTCTTTTTAGGGCTGATATGGGAATTAAGCCATATGGGGGTGGGGGGAAGGTCTGGTCCTATCAGCCCTCCAAGGAACAAGCTTTGAGTAGAACAGGGGCTCCTCCTGAACCCAATCCCTACATTGCAGGCAAGGGCCACTGTAAACACAGAGATGTCTACTCATAGTGTGGTGGTATTTACACACAATTCACCTTTAGGAGTCCAAAGAAGACAAATATGTTTCTGACATCCCTGCCAGTTGAGTGATTTAAACACTTCCATATTTTTGCTCCAGCATTACAAAAGTATTCTTGACCCAATTTCTGTCTCTAGGAAAAATGCCTACTTCCCTGTCTGATTAAATAGACCAGGCATGCAAAGAGTTCTTAGTACATTGTAAAATGATGTGAAGAACTAGAGAAAGAAACCCCATCTCACGTGAGGTGTTCTAGTCCAAACTTTAGGATTCCTTTCTTGGGGAAGTGACTCTCTGATGCCCTTCCCAGCGTGTCTATGGCTCAATGAGATCTAGCATGAATGGCCCCATACCCCAAACCACATCTTCTTTTTTCACAGAATTGCAGGTAAATATAAGGCAAACAGATACAATTAGGTAAAATTTTGCTCTTTAGTTTAATTTGTCAACACTTCTAAATCATTTCTTTTAAGGGTAGATAGTCCTGAAGCTGTTTTAAATGCAAAATGTCAAGGTCTTGCCAACATCTGAGGACTCTTCAGAATGTCCCAAGTCTGTGGTTTTTCTGTTGTGGGATCTCATTAATAAAGAAAAATGCCTTTCGGGGCGCCTGGGTGGCTCAGTTGGTTAAGCGACTGCCTTCGGCTCAGGTCATGATCCTGGAGTCCCGGGATCGAGTCCCGCATCGGGCTCCCTGCTCGGCAGGGAGTCTGCTTCTCCCTCTGACCCTCCTCCCTCTCATGCTCTCTGTCTCTCATTCTCTCTGTCTCAAATAAATAAATAAAATCTTTAAAAAAGAAAAAAGAAAAATGCCTTTCCCAGAGAATGGGCTGCTGAGACCTGGACGGCGGCTGCCTCGTAACCGAGTGCTAAGCTGTAAAACCTATTTTCATGTCATATAAACCATCATGAGGAAAGGAGAATTAACAAGAGGCAACTGACATGTTTTGTTTTTTTTTATTTTGTAAGTACATGTAGGAATTGAGGCTGCATGAGGATGTATGTACGTCTCAAAGGCATACTTGTTTTTAAATTAACTGTTTCATGAGTTATTAAATAAATGTCAGCTACCAATAGATTCATATGGACACTTGAAAACTATTGCTGAACTGATAGATGTTCATAATTTCAAATCAAACTAACAACTACAGCAAACCATATTAATGAAAATTCATTTCACCCATCTATTCTGTGACTATATATGCGACATTTGTGAATAACACAGTACCTGTTGCTGACACATTAATGCTTACTTTATTTCAATACGTTCACAAATACTAACACGACAGTCGAGAAAGTTGGAGGAAGCAGGAGAGACTTCCAAAAACATATTAGAACCAACAGTGAATACAGACCAGTAAGCAGTTACATACATTTTATCAGAGACAGGAGTTTTATCAACTGTATCCAGAAATTCAAGAAAGAAGTTGGGCACGCATTCAGTGCACACGCATCTGGGGAGGTCGTGGAGGTTGGCAGCCGAGTGTGTGGACTTGCTGTCTTACAGAACTGTTTGGAATTCCGGCCCCTCTGGAGTGTGACCCCCTCGTGTGCTGTTAACCTTCTAGGTCCTCATCTCCAAAGGGTGGGTCCCTGTTGCACCTACCTCTACATTTGCTGTGTGTATAAACTTTGAGATGCATATTTAGATGCTCTGCCCCAGAGCAAGCAGTCAAGTGGTAGCCATTCCTAGTACTTAGTAGTTGGCATGATACAAAGAACCCTAAATTTCCTTTAGGACCCCATTAGAGTTTACTGCTTTGTAAAGTACTTAACTAAGTACTTAATATATTTTATGGAAAGGACTTTCTTTCACCTGTAAGTGAGAAAGTAATGTAAGGATTTAAAAATAAAAAAATACAGGGGCGCCTGGGTGGCTCAGTCGTTAAGCGTCTGCCTTCGGCTCAGGTCCTGGTCCCAGGGTCCTGGGATCGAGCCCCGCGTCGGGCTCCCTGCTCCGCGGGAAGCCTGCTTCTCCCTCTCCCACTCCCCCTGCTTGTGTTCCCTCTCTTGCTGTATCTCTCTCTGTCAAATAAATAAAATCTTTTAAAAATAAATAAATAAATAAATAATAAAAAAATACAAATTTGGGTGCCTGGGTGGCTCAGTTGGTTAAGCGACTGCCTTCGGCTCAGGTCATGATCTCAGGGTCCTGGGATCGAGTCCCACATCGGGCTCCCTGTTCAGCAGGGAGTCTGCTTCTCCCTCTGACCCTCCCCCTCTCGTGCTCTCTCTTTTATTCTCTCTCTCTCAAATAAAATCTTTTAAAAAAATACAAATTTAAGTGTAATCTTCACAAGTGAAAATATTGTTCATTAATATTAACCTCGGATGTATTTAGCATTTTAGAAATGGTCAGGTTTTTACCCAGTGGCTAGGTTATGTAAAACCCCAAACTATTTCTATATTGCCTTATATATGCAAGTCTTTTTTGTTAAAAATACCCTATACATATTCCCTTTACGGTAAAACCTGTAACATCATTGATAAAATCATGTAAATTAATTTTAGAGGGTGCCAGTCAATCCCACTAGAAGAGAGGGTCAGCGTAAAATGGTATTCCATCTGTATCCATATTCTTTTTTGAACGTCTCCTTCCCCAGTGTCTTGGTTGCTCCAAGACTGTAAATTATGAAGTTGCCAAATGTACAACCAGGCAGTATCATTAATGTCAGAAAAACTGGCTCATCTTCAGTTAAAAAAACTTCCAAAACCTCCTTTTGTCTCCATTTTAAATTTGTTTGCTTACTTATTAATACCCCTCATGGTTCCAAAAATAACTAGAGAGAACTGTTCTAAGATGTGTTTTCAAGAATTCTCTCTGTTTGGCAGGTTGGTTACTGGAACGATATGGATAAATTGGTCCTGATTCAAGATGTACCCACTCTTGGCAATGACACGGCAGCTATTGAGAACAGAACAGTGGTTGTAACCACAATTATGGTAAGTTTTGGTCTATGCTTTATGCTGTTCCGTCTAGTCCACAGGCAGCTTTAATCCCCCAGCTATGGTGAACGGGGTAAAAGCTGCATTGTAGCTGGGGTGACATGCATGTTCTGATCCACAAAAGTCTGTTGAGGCTTTGAATAGGTTTGCCCTGAGCTTTGAATGCATTCAGTACTTTTATTTGTATTATCTTTCGTTGCAATGTTGTTCTTGGAAAGATGCTCATGTGTTCAAAATGGAAACTGTCACACTCTAGTTAGAAATGGATGAAATGCTAACATTCCAAAGGACAAAAGAATGAACATGAAGAATCAGCAACCTGTCACAAAAACATCTGGTAGTAAACACCATATTATTGTCGTTACCATGTTTTTTATGACATCAATGTAATAATAGTTCATAGTGTCAAAACCGATCACTTTCAAGTAGTTTAATCATTGGATAATGATTTGCCTTGTCTGTTTATAATAGTGGGGATATGAATGTAAAGATTTTAATGAACGTGTTTTATACAACTAAATGCTTTAGAAATAAATTTTGTTCTCTATTTATTTTTAATGTGAAAAGGGTGTTCTGCACCGATTATTTTTCTCATTGACCAATGACAAATACACAGTACAATTTATTGGACTTCTCCTAAGACTTAAGGAAAGTATGATTGCTCCATCCTGTCACATCATAAAGTGGAAACTACTCTAAATTTTAAGGAAGTGTTTCCAAAGAGATCCTCAAGAAATTACCTTTTCAATCACAGAATATTGTTGAAGTCAACCACGCCCTTTTGAGTCCATGCTGGTCAAAGGAGATCAACAATCGGTACCTATAGCTTCAGCTCCCTGTCTCGTTAGGCAGAACACGTTTTTAATTATTTATGAAGCCCTTACTCTAAATAAAGTGGAAGTACTTTATGTCAGTTTCTAGCTTATGTAACTGTGGTTTTTAGTAACGTCAAGTTATTTCCAAAAATTTGGGCACCGAGGTCAAAGCATGAAAATGCCAGAGAGAAGCGTTCATATGTTACCATGAGTGTTCTCTGTGTCACATCCCCAGCAGCCATGTCATGTTACTCCACCAAGCCTTGGTGGGAAGTTGATGATTTTAGAATGCAACCCAACCAACAGCAGTTTTTGTGTAAGAGTGCAAAATGCACTCCTTCTAGCTTAATTTTGTAATAGTTGCATGGGACTTTTGAAAAGCAGTATATATACATATATATATATTTCTTTTCCTAAAAAGACACAATAATGGAAAGTCATACTTCAGTACAGTCCTCCTCTTTTCAGCCTCTGATGAAGAATCCTATTTTAAGAAATTGATCAAGAAAGAAATGAGTTCCACGCTGTTCGACCATTCCTAACTAAGGCTCAAGTCTTGTTCTCCTGTGTAGTAAATATAAGCTAATTTTTCATGTGGGATTCTTCTTGGATGACCAACTCTGGACTACCAGAAAAAAAAATTTTTTTTAAGTTCTGTGACTTTTCTGAGATACTAGAACAAAAGAAGAATTAATCCTCATCTTTCTCAAGAAAATATATAGATGTTGAAAGAGAATCACTTAGCAATTCTGACATAGCAATTCCCCTATCCTGAAATGAGGTCATTGTACATAAAGGTGGAATTATATCACTCCTAATTCAAGTGCAGGTTTTCTAAAAGTAAATATGAATTTGTGTGCTTGATTCTGAATATACACAATTGTTTTCTTTAAAGGTGTTTTGAAATTTTGCCTGTTCTATGTGAAATAAAGTGTCTGAATGTGCATTATAGGTATAATGTAGAGAATCTCCTTTCCACCCCTATTATTAAAGGGGCTGGAGATAAAATTCTTAAAACCAAAATATTGAATCAGTTTGCAAGCATGGTTCATTTTCAGAAAGCATGCTACCAACAAATCAGTTAAAATGATTGAGAAATTCAGTTGTTTCCTTTATACGTAAAGAATATTCTGTAAAGCTGTTGTTCGACAGTGGTATCATCAATATTTTTGCTATCAAAATAGTGCGATACTAGTATTTGTCTTTTGTATAAAAATGTAATCTTCGTAAAATAATACCTCTTTGGGCTTTGCAATTGCATAATCATTCAGCGATTAAAAAAGGAATACTAGGATCCCTTCCCTAAACATGTTCCTTGTATTTGCTTTTGTTGAGAATGGTCATCCGGGACCTATGGCAGTTCCACCATCTCATTCATGTTGAAAGAAATACGATTGCTCGTAGACAAATGAGATATTGGCACCTGCATGTAATAATCTCCCACATTCAACTGAAAACTCCCAACACAGATGGAGCTGGTTAGACCCCGTAAGATGTGCAAGACGGCTATCTAGACACAGAGGTTGAGAGTGTTGCTGCCCTGGAAATCATTCACTTTGATCAAAACTGATATGGCCTTGCTGTTCTTCCCATTTGTCTTTCCTTGGTGTATGTTGTTATTTATATGTTGATACATTGTAATGATATATGCTGTTGTTAAATAAAATTGATTGAGAAATTCATTTATTCATCCATAAATATTTATTAAGCGTCTGCTGTGTGCTGGGCACCACTGTAAGCCCAGGGATATGCTAGAGAACAAGACCGACGACAATCCTGCGCTCAAGTGAGTTTATATTCCAGTGAAAGAAGCAGACAACAAACAATAGATAATGTAGACTAGATATCATTCTTAAAGAAAAAGTGGCTCCAGCTCTCTGTCCTGTTGAAATTTATTTTTTCTTATAACAGCATTGTCTACCTGTGACGTGATCCTCGTTTTAATGGCTCATTTATTCCAGCTGAATACTGTCATGCTGCATAACTTGGCTGAATCTCAATAAAAAGTAAAATTGGCAGCATCATCCCACGAGGATCATGACTACAAGGTTGAAAGGTCTCAAGTTTTGAGTTCAGATGCTATTTTCTGTCTGTAAGGCGTAGTGACTAGAAATTTGATAAAGCCTGTAATTGTATATGAGACTGTGAGTCATGCTAACGTTCTGCGTTCTCGGGAATAATTTCTGTCAGCATCGGAAGGCAGCCAGATCTGTGCCGTGCGGTTTGCATTCCCGCAGCAGTTGAGGAGAAGGCAGCGTGCAGTGGGGAGACATGTAATCTCACTCTGGCTGCCGAACTCTCTGGAAAAGCCAGAGATAAAGCAGTAGTTCATCCAAGCCCGTTTTCCCCCAAATGTTCAGGACTGAAGCTAAACGGTGCTTATGATGCATTCCTCAGCTAAGAAGCTATTTCTTACCATCTTGTGAACGTAACAATCCTTTAGGAAGATTTTCCATAAATCCCCGTTTATTCACTGCATAATTATGTTACAAACCTGAGAGCAGTTTTACTTACCACACTCGATCTTTCCAGAGGTTACTTTTTTTATACCTTTTCATTAGTGTTTGATATTTTATCTTCTCTATGTAGAATTTTATAGCTGCACTCCACATATATACATGTGCATATACAATACACACATATATTTTTATATCATATATACATATGTACATATATATACATAAATATACTTATTTTCTTCCTTGCACTGAGTATTTCCCCCATACATACACCTGCCTCCAAAGGGCTTAGCACTCAACTAGTTTTGAAATACCTTATTTTGAATAAATTTAAAACTGCGCAGCCATCCAATTTGCTCATTTTTTCTCTGAATTGAATAATAATATGTCAGTTTCTCCTTTTAAGAATTTTACCCATGGGATAAATTGTCTACCTCCAGTAAGATTCTTTGGAGAAAAGCAAATATCCACACAGCAAATAACTTCGGTTGATACTACGGATTTTATTATTTTAACTCTTTGCGATAGTAATTTTAATGAATTATATTTTTATGTTTAGAAAACCTTAAAGCCCTTCTAATAAGTATCTGTTTCAACAGCTTTGCTAAATATAAATAATCCAAAAAATTTTTTTCTCAGTAGGAAAATACTTCATTGATTGGAAATCATCTTAATTCATTTACACAAACGTTTCCTTAAGCAAGCCGTAATGTAGCAAGTTTAGACAGAAATTGATTTCTTTCCTGAAATAGCAGAGCAGATGTAGAACACTACCCATTATGGAAATTTTAGTAATAAACTCATAATCACTAAGAAGTAATGCATTTAAAATAACTTCTGAGGAGTTATGTTCCGCAGAGCACGGTAGTTGATGATAAAGATGGTAGGTTAGACTCTTAAGGCAGAAGTAAGAGGTTATATTCCACTTCTCTGATCATTCCATTTTTATTCACAGTTGAACACCTGAACTCCATAAGGACTCCTTATGAAAGATGCCCCACAAATCCTCCTTAACGATTGGCTAGGACTCATTTTCTATTATATTGAAAAGATTTGGTATTTTCTTCACCCACAGTAGCCCCAAACACTTGTATTAAATCCTCCCCAGATATGCAGGTCAGAAAGGCTACTTGGGGGCACAATTGTCAGGTTGGGTTGGTGCAAAGGAGAAGTTGGGAGAGCATTGAGGATCTGCTACTCATGTAGGTTTAATATGAAAGAAAAGCAAAGACACACTTGAAGAAAGTGAGGGGCGCTGAGCAACCAGGAGAGCTTTTGTTCAAGAAAAGCCTGGTTTTCTCTTGGCCTGTCCTCCCACCTCCCTGAGTGTGACCATCTTATTTCTCTTAATGCTGCATGCCCCACTCATCTGAATCTCGGTAATTGTACATGCCCCTGGTTGTGCAAACAGTCTAGCTCAATTTCTAATCAACATCTTCAGTAAGCTGTAAGTTTCTAGTCTTTGTTGGTCTCTTTGGCAGGAAAGCCAAGATCCTGATGGGCCTGTGCTGTCCAAAAAAGGAATTTAAAAAAGGGAAAGAAAACACTAGATACATTTTTTATTTAGATTTACATATGTCTGTTTCAGAAGAGATGGCCTAGCACTTAATAGTTACTTCCTTTTTGAAGACCTGAATCAGAAGTTCTAATTACTTTGCCATGATATTCCTATTTAGGGAGCACTGGTGCACCAGGAAATCTTTATATTCATTGAGTGTCTTATAGGTACCAGACAATATGAGGAGACACGGAAAGGTTTTATCTACACTGTGTACCCACAATTTCATAGAAAGTATTTCATTTACTCATAATACAGAAATTCATGTCCTTAAACTTGTCCCCTCTCTAGTTAAATCATACAAAATCTCAAAGTGTTGCATGCCATTTTGACAAATGCCATGACAGCTTTCCAGATATTTCAAAATACAGATTCGTTTCCCACACCTGCTACTTCTGTGAAATTGAACAATTCACTTGCCCTCTCTGAGACTTAGATTTTCCCCCTGCAAGATGGGAAGTGCCTACCTCAAAATATCAGTGTGAAAAGTAAATGAAAATCACAGTTAAAGAACTTAGCATTATTTCTGATCCAGAGCATGCACTAAGTAGAGCTATTCTTATTTTTCACTGCTGTATTTTATGATTGTCCCCCCCATTCTTACTCCTTTATCCTTATAATTAAGAATTATAATCTTAATCACAAGAGGACAGGAGGCATATTTTATTTATTTTTGTAGCCCCTGGCTCCCAGCAAACTGCCTGGCACACAGTGGGTGCTTAATAAATGTTTGAGTACACACTGTAAGTGCAGCTTTTAATAAAGCAAATTGTTCACTATATAATGTAGAGGGAATTTAGCAGATTATATGGGATTTCTCGCTAGAGAAATGTGCACACGAGCTCAAACTGTCACATATGTATTTGAGGACTGAAATTCTTACATGTTCAAGTATTCCGGACCCTTTAGAATTGCATGGGAGCCATAGATGTACAACTTTTGAAAACTCTTAAGTTTGTAATACTGAAAGTTGTAAGCGGTAACTCTACAGCCATTTCAATTGCAATTTTAAGCATTTTACAAATGTGTGAATCTTGCTTTTCTCTACATGTACTTCCACATTTTAATTAGCTGTCACAAAAAAGAATGAAAGGGTTAGCTCATTTTGACTACTACTATTTTATATCTTAGAAATTAACACTGCTTTGCAACAACTCACCACATTTATAATTTTAAAAACCCTTTATATTTGGAGAATGTTTTCTGTAAGCTACTAAATAATTGTCATCTATCTAAAGAAGAGATAGTTAGTTGCCTTAACTTTATAGGTGGAGAAGCTTTCTTTATCCAAGTCCGGTGTTAAAATATGCATCAGTTTCAAATACATGAGAGAGTTCTGGGTCCCTTGACTATGTCAGCCTAAGGCAGGATTATTCAAGGACCAACCCTAGACAGTTGCCCACAGTAGAGTTATTTAGGACATCTCGATGAGAAAGTTATATATCATGTAATTTACATTTTTATTAAGTTTTTTAAAGTAGTTTCTACATTTACAAAGTACTTAAAATCAGAAGTACTGTACAGTGCTTCGTTATGCAAAGTAGAATACTGTCTAATCCAGATTTTCAAGAGCAAGTTCAACTTCCCCAGGTACACATGTGCTGGGGGAGAGGAAGAATTTCGTGTGGAAATTACTCGGTGGATGTTATGTTACAATGTTATAAAATATAAACCCATGATCTCAGTGACATTGTGGCCAAAGGTGGCCACTTCTTGTCTGCAAATCTGAGGTGTGACCAGCAGGTCTCTCTTGCATGTTTACCAGACCTATCTTTTGGTGGCTTTAGGCTCCATTTATAAAATCAGGTGCTTGTTTGCTAATGTGTCTCTTTAGTTCACGGCCTTTAAATGGTATGGTTTAGGGGTGTGTGTGTGTGTGTGTGTGTGTGTGTGTGTTTAACTGGAAACTGTCTAGTTATTATTAGCCACCAGTAAGTCTTTTCATTTTATAAGGATTTTCACAATAATTCTTCATCCTATTTTCTGTCTTACTTGCTTCAAAAACTAAATGGGAATATCACTTGAAGTGTGTGATTGTCACAATTGGGGGGGATTATCAGCTTTCATTGGAGACATTTTATAATAGAATAAAACTTCATGGACCACAACCCTCATTAAAGCCAAAAATATTGGATAGTTTTAGGAAAGCCAATTTAACGCAAATAAATATATAAGATGTTTTTAATTATTAATTCATTTCTTCACTGAACTTGCTAGTGTCTGCTCTGAGAAGGGCATCCAGCGAAATGCTAGAGAGCAGAGGAAAATCATCTAGCTCCTTTCCTAAAGGAGATTGCAGTTGAACGTGGCTAAACAAGATGCAGAATATGGAGACCTGTGACCTTGAATAAGTACTATGTGGTCTTTAACTTCATGAGCTATTTTAGAAATACTAATTTCATTGCCAAAGATGATAGGTTTATACTTCCCTAGAAAGTTACTAATGTATACTCTTCATGCCACAGTCACGGGGCTAGGTATGTAACCGTCATTGGGTAGAAAACCGTTTTAAAGGTTTCACTTTTCGTACCCAATATAAAGCAACTGAATATACTCCTTAGCATATTTCTATATTCATCTGTTTTATTATTGATTTCTAGCCACAAAAAATCAGTGTGTATACTAATATTAAATAAAAAATTCTTGTCACATTCTGCAGCTGAAAAGTTACATAAAGACTTTTGAATGTTTTATAATTTCTTCTTTACAGTTCTACTTCTCTCATTATAGGAATCCCCATATGTTATGTACAAGAAAAATCACGAAATGTTTGAAGGAAATGACAAATATGAAGGATACTGTGTAGATTTGGCATCTGAAATTGCAAAACATATTGGTATCAAGTATAAAATTGCCATTGTCCCTGATGGAAAGTATGGAGCAAGGGATGCAGACACAAAAATCTGGAATGGGATGGTAGGCGAACTTGTTTATGGGGTAAGCAAATCAATTTATTGAAGAATTTACTTACATAAACCTGAAACTTTCTATCGCCTGGGCACGTATCAATTTCTCAAGACCTGTTACTGTTTATAAATTTGCAGTTACATTGAAAGAGGCATGTACGATGTTCAGATGTTTCTCTAGTTCATCATGGTGTACTTCCCAAATAATGAGAGAAGCTAATTTCTACAATTTCTACAAATCTATTATGAATGTCCCTTGATAATTGAAGGAGCAGATTTCCTCCAACAGCATAAAGTTGGACCTTATTTTAACTAGTTATTTATGTCCCTGTTGCTTATACTTACTGATAAATATCTTTTACGTAATTGGTAAAGCAATCACTAAACTACTTTAGCATCTATAAAATATTCAGCAATAATATGAGACTCCTACAATTCTGCTGAACACAGTAAATTTAAACTTTATGCAATGCCATCATTTTTTGAGACGTAGCCAAACACAAAAGCTAGAATGTATTCCATAGCAGGCCTCATGTGAATGCACATCAAGCCCTTCCCTTTACCAGATATTGAGTATACATGTTTATAGCTAAGGGCAGATTCAATGTAGACATTCCTGCCTGAATGAGAACAAGATCAGTTTCATCAGCTGTCACTGCAAAGGATCAAAATGAAACCAGCAGTTAGCAAATGCTGGTGATGCCTGATATTTCCAGAGTCCAGAAACCAGACCTAGAGCTCACAGTGAGCTGTATTCGTCAAGTAACCAATGAAAGTCACACACACTTGAAATGTGTTCTGAAATTTCCTGTAAGCCAATTCATATTTCACAGATTTCACCTTCAAAGCACACTCTGATTCATCCTCACAAGACCCCTTTGAAATAATTACATGAGAGTCCTCCTTCCCTAGAAGAGAATAAAGATGGAACGATCGAGAGCATAATTGAAGTCTGGAGAGGGTCTCCCTTTCCAAGCCTGAACTACAATTCGATAGTTTCCTGGTTCTGTATCCTGCGTTTCAGACCCCAGAGCCACAGACTTTCTCCAACAAGTCTGATACAGTAGCTGTAACCTCAGCTGAAGAGGAAATTGTTTGGCATTAAAGAGCAGTCATTTAGTTTTATATCCATGTAAAAAGAACTGCTGACCAGTCCGTTGCCCTAACTGAAGAAAAAAAAATTGCAGTTTTAAAAAATCAAGAAGTGTTTTATCACAGGGCTCATCAACAGTTTGAAAGTAAGCTTTAAGTTCCAAAGAAAAAGGATTCCTAAACCATGTGTTCCTCGGTAATATTTTAATCTTTGGGTAATACTTTTAATTTTTGAGACAGTAAGTAGATTTTTTTAAAGATTTCATTTATTTATTTGACAGAGAGAGAGAGAGCAAGCACAAGCAGGGGGAGCGGCAGGCAGAGAGGGAGAAGCAGACTCTCCGCTGAGCAGGGACCCCAATGCGGGACTTGATCCCAGGATCCTGGGATCATGACCTGAGCCGAAGGCAGACGCTTAACCGACTGAGCCACCCAGGCGCCCCGACTATTAGTAGATTTTAAATGTAAACATTATTCAACTTGTTAGAACTACAGTAATTCATTTCCTTCAGAGGACACTATCGGGTATTGCATCTCAAAAAAATCCTACTTGGATTACCAGTTAGTCATGGATGGTGTAACTAACCTGAGTAAATTTCTACAACGTTTGTTACATATCTCTCCTCCAGAGTCCCTACCCACTGGGCGGCCCAGCCTCACCCCTTTGCAAGGGCTCCAGCCACATTGTTCAAGTAACAGAAACAAGTGATATTAAGAGAGTAGCATCGTCAACCAAGAGCTGCAACCATAACACTTGTCACAGTAACAGAGTCCCAAGGTCAGCAGTTCTCAGAGAGAAAGGATAACAAGTGCTTATTAATACTCACCTTATTCAATCCTCAGTTCATCTGCGAGGGGCTAAATTCTCTCATCTCTGTCACTTGACTTTTTCCCGAAAGGAATCTTCTTCAGTGTTTCTTATCCTTTCTGCAGATTTGGTGCTTTTCATCCTGGTGTCTGCAAAGTCTGCACTTCTTAATTTTTTTACTTTCTTACCGCTAATCCATAGAACAAATGCCCAGTGTCCAGGGCCCGAGGGGAAGCTCCATCCATTCTCTCCTGTCCAACAAAGCCCATTAGACAGTAAATGATTCACTTAGAACCCGTTATTATTACTACTACTACTACTACTATTACTACTACGTTATTCTTTGCAAACTTTGTTACTGCCATTGTTCGGAGTAAGTGTTCCGGAACACACTCACGCGTGGCCTCAGCATGCCAGCAGGTGGTGGCCCCAGAGCGCAGGGCGACGCCCGCCGCTCAGGTCCTTCCCGCCCATGCGTCACACCAAGTCCTCTCTGCCGTGTTCTGTGCGCCTTCTGCTGGGCCCTGCGTACCAGTGTGCGTGGATTTTAATCCAAGGGAGTATTCCTCCACCTTCCGGGGCCTGCCAGCACCAGAATTCCCTGCGGTAGGCGTTACCGTGCGGGTCCAGGAGCCTCGCTGCAGCCCTCAAGAATCCAACTGTTAGGCAGCTCTTGCGGGACACACTTGACATGCTGCATTTTGGGAATCGCTGAGAGGTCGTGGAACGAGGCGCAGGATGTAACATCTCTGGTCTTCACAGAGAAAGCCCCGGTTTATCTTTTCTGTTCACTAGCCTCTTTCAAAACACAGCCTCCAGATTTCAAAAGTGTCCTCGTCGACCTTCGTGTCACCCCCCTGACCCAGCGTTTGCCTTCCCTCGTGCCTTGTTTCCTATGTTAGAGGCTCCTTGATTTCTCTCCATGTTGCTTTCATCTCTTAATGGTAACTCGTGTCCATACAACATTCCCTAAGGACACTACACCGAACAGCTTAGTATGCAGAAGGTGGCATTTCGCATCAGTGACAGGATGCGTTACTCATTTATTCCTGTTGCAACAGCAGAACAACCACTTGGAAAATTAACCACTTTGTAGCACATGATCACGTACGATACCCAGTAAAGCTTAAAGGAATTATAGGTACAAGAATAAAACATGTATGATTGAGAATGATCATATGATATGAGAAGAATTTTTCTAAGCATGAAACCGGAGGCTGAAAACGCCAAAAAGCCATATGGCTACAATAAAACTGAATACATATATATTGCAACAAAGTACCGTGAACTAAATTATGTAAACAAAACCATTACTGAACAGGGAGAAGTTTTGCAACATATACAGAAAATAAAAGTTAATTTTTTTTTTTAAGATTTTATTTATTTATTTGAGAGAGCAAGAATGAGAGAGAGAGCACACGAGAGGGGGGAAGGTCAGAGGGAGAAGCAGACTCCCTGCCGAGCAGGGAGCCCGATGCGGGACTCGATCCTGGGACTCCAGGATCATGACCTGAGCCGAAGGCAGTCGCTTAACCAACTGAGCCACCCAGGCGCCCAAAAGTTAATTTTTTGAATATATTTAAAAGCACTTACAAATTAGTAAGTAGAAGGTGAATACACCATATAAAAAATAGGGGCAGAGTATGACAGGTTGTGACACTGAAAAAAAAAAAAAGGAAAAGTGGCTATTTGTTTTATAAAATAAATGTTTTATAAAAATAAATTCAACAATACAAAGAGATCGAACTTGCCATGGAGTGGATTGGCAAAGATGAATGAGAATAATGATACACACGGGCGGGCCAGCATTCCTAGCGGGTTCCTAGTGGGAGGTGCTTTCACATGGTGCTGCTGACGGTGGAAATTTGCATGATCTTCCTGGAGAAAAGCTGCACAAAACGCATCGTGGCCGTTACAAGGATTCTTCCCATTTAGACCAGTAATCCCAGTTCTAGAAATTCATCTTAAATAATTAAGGGATGTACCAGGGCATGTCTTCAAAAACATTCAGATCATCAAAGTTTGAAATTGTGTAAACCTGGAAACAGTATCAACATCTCCTAAAATAATAAGTAGATTGAGCAAATTTTTTATATTTTCCCATGATAAAATACTTGCAATCATTAACTAATTTTTAACATATATGATAAAATGAAAAGGAGTTCATCGTATCCTTCATGAGTAGAGGAATTACAAACTGTAGTGTTTCATATTACCCCATTTTAAAATAAGAAAAATTTGATTCCTCAAACCATGTCTAGCAGGGCATATATGAAGAAAGAGCAAGAGTAGGTGAAGGGAGTGGAGGTAACTTTCCTTAATTTTTGAATTCTGTTTTTACACACTAATTTTTCTATAGTTAGTTCATATGTCACTTGTGTAATGAAAATTATGCAAATAATAAAATGGCAAAAATAATAACCTCCCAGCCGTGAGTCTGACTTTCATAAGTGTGGGCGTTTAGGAGGCAAGCCAAGTTCATTCCCACTTGAGGGCCCTTAGAGTTAACGCTCAGCCACCCAGTGGGCAGCATCATGGCCGGGGTACCCTCCCCGCCAGCCCACCACACGCCCTGGGCTCAAGCGGCCGGCTGGCACGTGAGCCACGACCTGGGGGTCCATAGGGTGGGTGTGGGGGTGTCACCCTCTGCGAGGGCACACATGCCTGGCCGTGTTTCAGATTCCACTTTAATGCCAAATATTTTCCTTTCAAAACAAACAATCACATAACCTTTTTGCACCTACAAATCATGTAACAGTTTACAGTGTTTTCATGACACTTTATTTCACTCAGTTTTAGAGATGGCAGGATTGATGGAAGACACACGAGCCCCGATCCCAGAAGGGCCGTGATGTGTACACCTGAGTCTCAGCTCTGTTGTCTAGAAAACAGTGATAAACGGGATTATCATAGTGTTAAACAAGAGGCCGTTTAAAATACTTAGTTCAGCATCAGATACGTAATTCCTCAGTAAATGCTCACTGGGATTTTATTAAGTTTTCTGTAAGAGAGAATCACAGTAATGCAATGAGGCAAACAGGAAAGTGTCCTCATTGGAGAGACATGGAAAGTGGGCTCGGAAAAATCGCTCAGAGTCACAGAACAAAAACGGAAGCTGGTGTCTTACGTTCGATCATGATAGCTGAGAATTGAATCCACTGTTTTCCAAAAGCTGCGTTAGAAATTCAGAGTAGAAAATCAAAGTATGTGAATAGGAAGAAATAAACGCCAATTTCCAGATTTTTGTGTGTGCGCTGGATTGGAAAATGTCATCAAACAGCGGGTGTCCTCCGTCCTACAAACACAGACTGTAGAATAGGTTTTCTTACAACTGGAAAGGAGTAAAAGAGGACTGTTTGAAATTTGCATTCATAACATTAAGGGACTGCCAGGTAATGAGTCAGTGGCACCGTTCCAAATGAAACAGGGCCGCAACATAGCAGCAATTCCGGCCAAGAGATTCCAAAATCCAGCCATATGGGGAGGCCGTTAAGACCCCTCCTCTGGCCCGGCCCACGTCCTTAAAGACTAATACAGTCATCTGAGTCTAAGTTATTTTTGCTCACATCCGCTCTCCCAGTTTTTCTCTCCTCCAGTCGCTAGTACCAGTAAAAATATTTCGTGCCGTGTACGTGGTCTGTTCTCTTAGGAAAACAGTCTACTGTTCACCTTTGCATTTAAAGCTGTTCTTACTCAATTGTTGGCTTTCCCCTCGAAATGTAGAGTGAATGCATCACTCGTTAGGTTCGAGTGGACCGGTCCAGGGCCTGTCGCTTCACGAAATGCATTAACCTGTGTGTTTTCGGTGTCTTTTCTCTTACAGAAGGCAGAGATTGCTATCGCCCCTCTGACAATCACTTTGGTCCGGGAGGAGGTCATCGACTTCTCTAAGCCCTTCATGAGTTTGGGCATATCTATCATGATCAAAAAGCCTCAGAAATCTAAACCAGGAGTGTTTTCCTTCTTGGACCCTCTGGCCTATGAGATTTGGATGTGCATAGTCTTCGCCTACATCGGTGTCAGCGTGGTCTTATTCCTAGTGAGCAGGTTTAGTCCGTATGAGTGGCACACAGAAGAGCCAGAGGATGGGAAGGAAGGACCTAGCGACCAGCCTCCCAATGAGTTTGGCATCTTTAACAGCCTCTGGTTTTCCCTGGGTGCCTTTATGCAGCAAGGATGTGACATTTCACCCAGGTTAGTTGGAAAACTCTCTGCTTCTTCACCAACTGCCCTGTCATTCTCGGTGTCGTGCACAACATCTCTCTACACGTTCTTTTCCCAGAGGCAGAGCGTTACTTTGAAACAAAGGGGGAAAAAAAACACAAACATGCAATTCCCAGATTAATCTGAGTACCTTCGTAGCCAGTTTTTCCAAGTTAGCACCAAATGTGGACACGTCACAAAGATAAACTTTCCCAGCGGAAAAGTAACGTATGCAACCGCTCAGAACTTTCAGAAATCACGTAGTGTTAATATCTCCTTCAGTGGTCCGACAGATGGAAATGAAAATCTAAGTTGTCAGATTAAGAATTCGTTTTCATTTTGTCTCCTCTTCAAAATCGGAAGTTTTTGTTACTGTTGCTGTTGTTCGTTTTTTAAAAATTAATTTTGACCTCCATTTACATCCCGTGTACCTTCTGGGAGATTTCTGCATGGACTTACCTAACACCTGAGTCGGTAGTGCAGGTACCAGATTACATTGCCCTGTGTAACAAAACATGAACTAAGTAAGCTGTGGGCCAACTCAGCAACATCAATACCGTATTAGTTTAATAGACATGTTTTTCAATATCTGTGGAGTCATGGCTCACTTCCTTTGGATACCACTAGACATTTTTCAGTTATGTTTGCCAAAAGTGCAGCCAATCTCCTGTTGCAAGAAAAATACCCGCAGGAAAAATAACTGTGAGTAGGAGAAGCTATGAACTGAATGAACTTAAATATATGACTTATGTTAGCATCGCAAATATACAGATTTTAAAGAAATGTATGCTTTCTCCAAAAGAGACATTTTAGGCACAATGCACTCTGTGTTCCTTAAGACCTAGGAAAACTATAAATGTGTTTAAATTCCAAAAGCACAGAAATCTGAGTCAGTAACTCTAAATTAATGAAATGAAAAGAAAGCCAAGCAAGTCGTGGAATGGTTTCGAAAACCAGGATTAAGCAAATGCTAAGTTAAAACCAACAGGTGCCACTTAATAATGGTTAAGAGGGAGAATTTGAAAGTTAGAAATGTCATGGAAAATATGAATTTTTTTCTTACATTAAAAAAAATGTTTAAAAATAATTTGTCCCAGGAATTTTAAAGTTTGACGGTCCCAGGGAGTGAGATCAATTATGAAAACGACCTGGATTTTTTTATTCATTCCATCCTCACTTTTCTTCCACATCCACATCACCCACACATCCCTGATACCAGGGAAAGGATGGGGAGAGAACTTCTTTCTTTAGAGGTTTAGCATCCATTTTTAACAGTGTCACGCTGTGCGTTGACAAGTCCCGTGCTTTGGTCTCATGCTGGCAGAGAGCACGTGTTTATGGCGGTATGTAAAGCTGCATTTGGAGATAGCTCATCCTCCGCTCAGATCAGAAATGAAATATCAAGCAGACAAAACGCTCCCCAGCTGTGGTCGCTCTGAGACCAGTCTGAGTCCTCATCTGGTCCAGCCCCATTCTGTGTGCCCCACGCACCCCACGCGCCCTGGCAGGGCTCTGTGTGAAGACAGGTGCAAGTTCTCTCAGAAGGGCATCTGTATGAAATCAAAGACCTCACGCGTTGTTAACACGCACTGCTGTTACATGTGCCATGAAGACAGTGAAACCAGGCCACTGGGTTCTGTCGCATCACCTGTAGGCTGCACCCCAATCCCAGAGACGCTAAAATGTGAAGGGGGGGATATCAGTGAATTTAAGTAAGTGTTCCTTTTCTCTACCTGAAGGAAAGGCATTAAGTTCCATGTTTCTGGGAATAAACAATAAAAAGGAAGCGTTTTCCATATTTTCAGTGGCATTCAGATTATACAGAAAGACTAGAATCATTCTTCAGTAGATTGACAGAAAATTAAACTGTAATTGCCATCGTGGTTTTAAACATACAGTGAATTTACGATATTTCTTTTCTTTCTCTATGTTGGTTAGAGAAAGGAAAATGTGCATTATCTTATCTATGTTTAGATCCCTCTCAGGTCGAATTGTTGGAGGTGTTTGGTGGTTCTTTACACTCATCATTATATCATCTTATACCGCTAACCTCGCCGCTTTCCTGACGGTTGAGCGAATGGTCTCCCCCATAGAAAGTGCAGAAGATCTGGCCAAACAAACAGAGATTGCCTACGGAACCCTGGACTCAGGGTCAACAAAAGAATTCTTCAGAGTAAGTTAAGGGAAAAACTAACCATGAAATGTTCATAATTTTGAAATTCAGGCTGTTTGCCAACAGTTATATTATGGGCCCTAGCTATTTGTAGGTTTTGCAAATATATATAATAGTGATGCTATGTTTATTGCTAATACTTCTACTTGGCTTTTATAATCACTTTAGTTTGCAAAAGCTAATTAATTTATTCACAGTGCAAGAGAGACCCAAGGAAAAGTAATAGCAAAAAGGTAATTAAGACAACTTTAGAATGTAATTTTCCAAAATATTCCAACATTCATAATGCTATGATGATACTGCATCTGGAAGATTATCATTTATATGTGCTTTAAGGTTAAGGGCATAAAAATGAAAGCAAGGTTTTTTGGGTTTTGTCTTAAGAATACGTTTAACTTGCCACATTTGAAACCCAAAACCTTAGTTGCAGCTTATATTTACTTATATGAGGTATAGTCTGTAATCTGTTCTGTAATAATGGATTTCAAAGCTATAGATTTGCTTTCTCACAAGATAATGGTAACAGAACTATTAGGTTCTGGATACCTTCACAAGATATTGTGTGTGCTGATTTCTCTGCTTTTACAGATAAAATTGTTCAAACTGATATAATTTCACATATGGATATGATGACCCCTTTGGCTTGCCATCGAGATGGCAGGTACTTGGGGGTTTTTTTGTTTCTGTTTTTTTAGTTGTTTGTTCCACTATGAGGATGAATTTTTGATCAGTGAAACTCTTTTACTCTACTTCTACTTAAATCCAGAGATATGCACTTGGTAATGTCTGGTCAGAGATAAGGATTCATTTTGTGACTTCAGAACCAAAACATTAAAAGGTAGTCAGAGTGACATTTTCACAAACATTTACCTAAGTAATAATGAGGATATTTTACATTTAATTTCAATTGCTTACAGGCTAGGTATTTAATAATTTAGGAGACAAGAATATTTCCCTGTTTTCTAAGCTTTCATGTAAAAATAATGACAGCCCTTTGAAGTAAGTGCATGCTTACATACACAGTACTTGGGAGATTACATTGTCATTTTAAATGTATATGCTTATCATTTTCCCACTCAGCTTGGAAATTAAAAACAACAAAACATCCTACTCTTTAAGCCAGCCTTAACTTTCGTGTACTTGAAGTTCAGTGAGAGATTTCTCTTTTTAAAAAAGATCTGACTCTGGTATCCTTATATACTACAGGTGTTCACATAATACTGAACTAAGAACAAACCAATCAAAAACTTTGTCAAACCCATCATTGGGCATTGTTTACAAAAGAAACCAGGCAGTGAACCGTGTCCTTGTCAACTATTTAGAGAGCATTGTTAGTAGATATAATGAAACATTTACGATAATTATAAAGTATTTGCAGATTTTTCTAAAACTGTAAGTAGACAATAGATTTTACTAACAACATTCTCTGGATAAAAATAAACTTAACTGACCAAATTTTTAAAACTTACGGAGTGCATCCCAGTCTTTAAAGCTTCATGATGGAAGCATACTGCTCTCACATATTTTAGCAAAATTTCAATACCTTGCCAGAAATCTATCAATCTGTAACTGCTTCCACCCTGAACTAGGTAGATAAAATTCAGTAACTTTGCCTAGAAACCATTATGCATAGGCTTCAAAATGGAATACAAGTTTGTGCTATCGCTTGCATTTTACCGAGAAATGATGACTGATTTTCATGTAAATAAGGTAAATATTTGCAGGTTCATCATTCTGGCCTTGAGTGATAAAGGGAGAAAGAAATGTCATGTTGATTCCCTGAAAAAAAAATTTTCAGAAACAACTCACTGTACAGCTCCTTGGCATCAAGCACACTAAAAATGTTTATTTCTAATCTTTATAGAGTTTTTTAAAAGTGTTGCAAATTCTAAAAACTGGCGAGGTAGATAAGAGACCATATTGATAAGAAATAGAGGACGAAGGGAAGCAGCTTGCTGGATTTACAGAACCTTCCACACAGGCCGTGCCCGTCACCGTGGCCTGTTCCCTCTCCCCCTCCCCACCAACGGCAGCTTTAAAATGGAAAGACTTTTTTATAAGGTATTTATTGTTGCAGAACAGCCTGAACCCTAATGGGACAAGAAAATAATTTTCCCTGGCAGCACCCTTTCAGGAATGCATAAATGTGTGTTCTCTGATAAAAATCTAATCCGTTTCCTACGCTGTGTTCCCCTCTCCCACAGATGATGACCTGGTTTAAATAAACCATTCTGTCTGACGGGCGAAGGCAACAGAATGTGAAGGGTATTTTTGTACTTGTCAGAAATGTTTTCTCGGAGGAGTATAGTACCAATACAAAAATCCGCTCCACTAAACTGCCTCAGGGAGCGAACTATGCTCAGTGCTTCCAAAAAATGTTGCAGTCACAGATCGACTGGAGAAAGAATTAGGCCATGGGGGGAGATTACATCCGAACTCAACTGTTGCCTTGGTTTTTGCCCCATTATGCAACTTGGTATGTTCTGTGTTCTCTGCACCTTGTTAAGCATAAACGTAGAGGCATTTAGGGAAAGTCTGGACCGGTCACTGAAGGGCAGCCGTGCTGGTTAGGTGTTTAGACATCATTATACACCTGATACACACACACTGATTTTCATTGCGGTTCATATTTTATACTGTGGCTGCTGGAGTCATCAGTCAAACCACGAAAGCATAAATGAGGTGGATTACTATCTCAGGGCTTATAAGATTACCAAATATTGCAAACAGAAGCCTTGCTGCTTAAGCTGCTGGAAGTGGGAAATAATTCACCTGGCAACAATTTTAACATTAACTATAATGTGTGACATCTGTCCATATTTTCCGTGGAAAACAGGAAAGGCAATTTTTGAGAAATTTAAAGGACAGCACATTTTTTAAAACTCCAAGAATTATTTTCAGTGGTAAAATAGTGCTTTAAATCAGTAAGTTTCCTATGCATTGAACTTCACAATAAGGAATTAAATAAATCTCAAAAAATAATGACTTCTGTATTATCTTGGCTTATTACTTTGAGCATATTCACTCCCCAAACCTGATCTTTAAGAAGATATTACATTTGAAGATGTTAGGGACTTAAAATCCCATTATCACTGTATTTAGGACTTTGCTGGGTCTGCAGAAATTCCCTTTTAGCATGTCTCGTCAAATTTACAAAGGTTTGCTTGCCCTCACTTCTTAGCACATACCTCTTGTGGTCACAAATAAGGCACAGGGATATTATTTCCAGTCCTTCTCTTCTTGAATGCCCCCAGCACCCCCCTCCCCATGGGGATGTGACCTTATCTCTGCCATGTACCTTGAAATCAGAATCAGAATTTCTAAACATTCACAGAGTGACAAACAATGTGTTTTTTTTTTCCCCCAAAGGAGTTGCTTTTATCACTCCTGTCTTTTCCACCGGGATGCTGTATTTTTACAATATCCTTTATACATAAGGCTTGCTAAATGTGGCCCAACTATGCTACGGATCCCTCTTTCTTCTGGACTTTAAAAGAATTAATTTAACTTCTTTTGCACTTCTGGTATTTGTAATTCAATATATTTAAACGAATGCAACAGTAATTTCCCTCACATTAGCATTATGCAAATGGACTTCTAAAAAATATCAGTTGCCTAAAGATACTTTATTCCTTTAAAAAGGAATCATTTGCTTTAATATTTTGTTGTGTTCTATGGTTAAATTGTCTTCCTAATTACCAAGCCCTTAAAAATACTCTTTTCCACCCTGCTGTGTTAGTTTTGTTTAGTGGTTCCGATTCCTTTATGTAAGATGCTGAATAGTAACAGGAGAATTGCCAGGTAACTAACCGGACTCTCATAGTCTTAAAAAAATTCAAAAAAAATTTTCGAACAAAATAATACCCAGGTTTTATTTCTTCTGTTTTCAATGTAGTATACATGATGGGGTGTGCAATGTATGTGGAACTCTGTATCTTTTTAGATGAAACTCTCAAGTCAAGTTATCACTGTATTTTAAAGAGTGATTATACGCCAAAAGGATGTTATTTACCAACATTTCTCTAAATGGTAATAATCAGAATAAATGTTAAGGACATCTGTATCTAGTGATCCAGACAGTTTATGATTTTCAGAGTTTGGAACTCGTTGTAAAATGGCAGAGTTCATTCTCTGGAAGAGAACTCTATTATTAAAGATGGCAGCACGGCCTCCCTAGTGGATCCCACGGCTGAGGGTTGTGAATCCAGACACTCCTCTGTCCTAGAAGCACATAGAACGTTTGCAATTTCATTTAGTAGTTGGCATGCAGCTTTCTAATGTGAGGATTTCTATGGCCAGAGGTCACCTGTCATCACACACACACACACACTTTTTAAGTGTTAATAACATGAAAACACCTCATAGGAGAATACAGGATGTCTGTTTTCCATCTTGAAATTTACCAGCACTTGAATATACATTAACATAAAATATCTGTTTTTTAATAAGTGCCCAAGTATGCAAATCTCTTACTGTTATATAGGATATTGATTACTAAATTCCCATCTTCTGAAACCAAAATTTTAAATACAACTTTTAACAGTTTCTTTGTCAACCCAAATCCTTTGATTTTACCCCAAAACATGTCTTCCTAAGTTTGCTATTCAGGATATTTGTTGATTATTGAAGATCTGTCTCTTATTGGACTCTACATTCTGGTAACCAAAGGAGGGTCCATATAAAACAAATATGCACGCTACTCAGGATTTGCCCTTGTGCTTAGACGTAAGTCTGAATGAAGTCGCCATTAATTTTTATTTGGATCCAGATGCAAAATTCCAGCATCTTGTTACTGAGCAAATGCACTTGCACCAGAGAAGTCTGTGTATCCTCGTATTATCAAACATCAAACAGGATGCAGATTTTTCTGACGCATTAAACATATCCCTTGGGGACATTTGAGTTCATTTGGATGTATTTTCACCTTTAAAATGTCTGTATGGATGAAAAAATCTAACAGGCATGCAGATAACAGCAGAAGGTTCTAGGTAAATTAAGTAATGGGAGTAAAGTAGATGGAGCCCAAATAGACAGAAATAAATGTATTTCTTGGCTGAAGTCAAGGTACCAGAAAGACTAACTATCCACAACGTATCCTAGGAAAACAAGAATCGCCTTTCTTTTTCAGTTTTTCTAACTTTTTACTTAAAAAACATTTTTTTATTTTTATTACTGAAGTGTTGTTGATATGGGTTGTTATATTAGTTCCAGGTGTATAGTGATGCATCGCTTCCGTGCATCATCCAGGCTCCTGATGATAAGTGTGCTCAATATCCGTCCCCACACAGCGTTGTTAGGCCCTTCCTGACCCTGTTCCCTGGGTGGCACTTTTCATCTCCGTGACGTTTACTGTATACCTGGAAGTCTGTACCTACAGGGAAGGAATCACTTCTCTTTAAAGTTTAAGGGATGTTCTATTTGGAGATTTTATTAGAAAAAGTCTGCAACTGTTTGGTGGACCTAGACTTTGCGTCTTGTGCTATGGACGTTTGGCTTGTGAACCCCACTGTATCAGCTCCTCCCTTCGTGACTTGATAAGGACCGCTCTTCATCCACATCTTAGAACGCTTCACATTAAAACTGGGAGGCATGAGAAAATATAAAAATGAAAACGATGTAGCAGCACTCCTCAATCAGTCATCAGATTTGCAGAGCTGGCCCCTTCCGGGTTTACCATGATTGTGATAGCAGACATGATTTTAAATGTCCCACTCTCTCTATGGCACCCTACGTTTAAAAATAATAGTAGTAATACGTTGTTCTTTAGGCAGCTGAGTAGGGTAATCATGTATGACCAGAGGGACCCACTTGTTCAGATGTCACTTCTAAATGTCTGCCGTTTCCGTCATGTCCTTCACCTGTTGTAAAAGGCAGTTTTCTAACTGGAGGGGAAAAAGTCAGCCAGGCTGACTGGAGTTGCAGGACCAGGGAAAGGTACTTAAAGAGGCTTTCTCCTCATCTGGGTTCGGTCACTATTAACATGTCGTTCCCTTCTCTCCTGTATTTAATTTTATTTGCATTTCCTCCAGAGATCAAAAATAGCGGTGTACGAAAAGATGTGGACCTACATGCGATCCGCAGAGCCGTCCGTGTTCACTAGGACTACAGCGGAGGGAGTAGCTCGGGTCCGAAAATCCAAAGGCAAATTCGCCTTCCTCCTGGAGTCCACTATGAACGAGTACATCGAGCAGCGAAAGCCGTGTGACACAATGAAAGTGGGAGGAAATCTGGATTCCAAAGGCTATGGAGTAGCTACACCCAAGGGTTCTTCATTAAGGTGGGTGGGATAGTATAACAATGTAACATGTGTTGTTATAATATTCCACCTTCCCTGATGTCCCCGACACAGTGATTTTGTTTTGTGTGTGAACATGGTATGTTCGTTTTTTTGTTGTTGTTTTTTTCTTTTTCTCCATTTCATACGTTTTGATCAACAGTCAGGTAGTTTTTTTTTTAATTTGGAATAATTAATCCTAGTTGACCTGTATATCTTTGAAGGCCATATAAAAACCAAACTGGTTGAACACTAGCTGCCTCCAGTGGGCCTAAAACGTGGGTGGCGACGCTTCTGTGTCTCGTCAACTTTCTTCAGTCACTCAATTCTGCGCTCTCATTTTGTCAGCTAATGGTTCCACATTTTATCATGATTTTTTTTTTTAATTCTGCCTGCCCGCTAGTTTCTGAGTAACGAAGAAATCAGCCTCTTCCTAACAAACCACTTTTTTTCCCTCCATTTCAGTGTTTCATTGATTATGGCATCTTTATATTTTAGGTTAACCTGAGGTGGTATCAGAGTGCCAAGTTTGTGGCTGCATCTGTCCACAGATGGGGTCATGGTCAGCGGGAAGCAGGCTCTGATTCTATGGGCTTACTCCAGTCACACTCACACCCGTTGCAAAGGGAGTGTGGTGTAAGTAAGATCTGTAAAATTAGACCCGATGACGCTCCAGAACTGTTCACATACAGACCCCTGAAATGTGATTCATGAGCACAGCATCACACATGTGGATTCCTCGGATAATCCACATGTGTTAAAGATGAGACTTTCGTTCTTAAGGAAATGCTGGTAAAATCTGCCCTTTTTGCCCTTCGGTCCTGGACATAGGGAATTCACATGTTTATGCCCAGGAGGCAGAATATCCTATTTTCCTTAAGCAATAAAGGCTCCTGGTGAATTGCTGGGGCTAGAGCAAAGCCGGAGTCAGCAGTGACAACTGACAAATCAACCTGGTCTCAGTGCTGCTTAGGAGGGATTCGTACAAAGCACAGATTCAAGAAGAAATCAGAATCTTTGCTAAAGGACCTAACCACGAACCCGGTCTTGAGAAATGATGTCTCTGGTAAGCCTTTGAAATGTGAAAGTAATGAGACCTGTCCTGTTGCCCAGTAGGAATGAAAGCAACGTAAAGATGATATGATCGTTCTCATTGGTTTGAACAAGGGAACTGCAGCGTGCTTTGGATGTGTGTGTTGGGCGGGGGGTGAGGGTGTGGATGACACGGATCCGAGAAACAGTAGCCCTGGAAAGTTGTGTTAAACCAGTATTTAGTGTTTGCAAAAGCAACACTGTAATAGTTAGTGAGGGGTTTTACGGTGTGTCCAAAAGGGACCATTTTAAAAGGAGAGAGGATAAAATGAGCCGGTAAAGACAGACTTGGGTGTGGACTTTGGCAGAAAGTCATGTTTCTTTGCACGTACTTCCCATATGAAACCAGAGAAATGTCCAGGGAGAAAGCCAGACCAATAAATTACATGTAACAAAATTCTACCCCAAAATGTTCCAACCATTCAGAAACTCAGACTGGCATCAGAGTGTTTGGTCTTCGAGGGTATATTTTGTAGGATGCGGTAGGAGAAATGTGTCATTTCGGCAAAGCCAAGGAGCAAAGAAATCTCTGTTGAAGTAGGAGTTGTGAGAGCACCTTCATGTAGCTAATTTAAAAGAACGGGAAGGGGAGAAAGCAATGGTGGTTGATATGTAGATCAGTGTTCAGACTATTGATTACATTCACTGGATGTCGCTTCTGCTCTTAATTAATTCTCTGTGGATGTAGCTGCCTTGTCCTCTGTCTTGTGTCTACTGATAAAGTCAAGTTCCAGGGACTGCATTTGGCCCTCAGATACGGGTGCGCCTGACTCCCATTGATGGCAAGAGTTCCCTCTTAAATGTGCCACTTTGTCAAATCCACACTATGGGGCTTGTTTGGGGAGACGCTGAAGGGCTTCATCTGTCTAGAACTGTATAATAATCCGCTATTGGCTTCCCCCTCTTTTCCTGTCCTTCCCTGGATCTTGTTAATGAGGCAATTGTTAAACCCAGCTTCCTGGATGGAGAGTTTGTTTATACACTTTGTTTTATATATGCCACAGTTTCCTGAGCAAGCTGGCCCCTGCATGCCAAAACCACAGTCCTTTTGTCTGGTCTTCGAGAACACTGGAAGAGCAGGGAAGGCTAACCAGCGTGCACCTTGCCCCCCACCTCCTCACTTCCCCACCCCAGCCCAGCTACACGCGGGGCGCGCATCACGCTTAAACTCTCATTCTTATTCGATGAGGAGCCTCGGTTTGAACAGAGGCAAACTCTCAGGGATGGACGAATAGGCACCTTCTGTGTAAAGGATTACTTTGTAGAAGCAAATTCAAAACAATTGCATTTATCACAGCAAGATCCCGAGGGCACATCTGCATCAAGAGTGTTGCCTTATTTGTTCAGTAGACTGTTTTCCTATGGGCTCTGTCTTTCTTTTAACCAAGTCTTTACGTTAATAGTGCTGGATACAGTGAGACTAGTCTGTTTCCTTGTCTTTCCCACAAACTCTGCTGTTGTGATTCACTGGGCAACATGAGACTTGAAGAACAGGAAAACGGTAGTCTTTTTTTTTTTTTTTTAAGATTTTATTTATTTATTTGAGAGAATGAGAGACAGAGAGCATGAGAGGGAGGAGGGTCAGAGGGAGAAGCAGACTCCCTGCCGAGCAGGGAGCCCGATGCGGGACTCGATCCCGGGACTCCAGGATCATGACCTGAGCCGAAGGCAGTCGCTTAACCAACTGAGCCACCCAGGCGCCCAGGAAAACGGTAGTCTTTCCTGCTACGTCAGCTGAAGCACAGAACGCAGACACATGGCTAACAGTCTTCCAGTGGTCTAGGGAGTCTCACATTTCCGGACCTCGCTGTGTGGTCACCGTGCTTCACAATCAACGTCCCAGAAAAGAGGAAGACTAGGATATAGTAGAATCGGGATGGAAAGCCAGGACTCGGGTCTTCACTGTGACCTGCAAACAAATGCAGTCTGGATCGTTGCAGAGCCTGTCTCGGTGCGTGGGGTAGAAAACACTGCAACAGGATGACCAGCACCTGTCTTTACGGGAGAGGGATAGCGCACAGAGCTCCTCGTTGTTCGAAGGGCCTATTTCAGGCTCGTGTTTGCGAGGGTTACAGAAAGCTGTCAGTTACAGAAGCAGTATCCACGGTCAGGAATTATTGGGTTTCTTGTACTTTAACACAGATTTGTCAAGTTTTAGGTCACAGAAGGATGCTAGGAATGTTGATGCCGTTGGACGTCCCATCTCTAGGTCTTACTATGATAAAGAGGAGCGATAACGGGCCGACCTGCCTACGAACTATCAGTACTGGGCAGTGGGGGAACTCAGATCTTACTGGCATAGCTATTTATTTTCCAAAGTCATCTTCTAAAGAAAACTTCAGTTCTCATTGTGAGATGAAAGGGTGAAATCTCTTCTTTCATATTATCTCTCAACTGTCCCCACGCTTTGATACTTCCCTCGAACCTTCTTTTCCTGTGCACCATGCCATTTATATGACTCTCAGCGTCCTGGCCTTCCTTCTTGTTCCTTCTCCAATACCCTTGACACCCCAGAACAACGGTGACATCTGCCCTCTGGCTGAGAAACTTTCACAACACATGCTTTAGACAGCACCGCGGTGGGAACGCAGAGTTTAGATGAGGGAGGCAGCTTGTTCACTTTGACTTTACCGTGAGTTCTGTCAGCGTCACTACACGGCAGAGACCCACTGTCCGTGGCATTTACTGTAGCGCAAAGCTGTATGCTTGACCACAGAAATACGGTCTTTACTGTGTTATCCCACTAGTTGCTGTACTATACTACGCAACAAGCAAAACCAACAGACGTTGTTCAGAGGGAATCGTAACTTGGTTAACACAGAGACGTACTAGGTACCAAACAGCTGTTAGGCGAGAAGACCCCTTTTGGAGATACTCCTGGTCCGTCGTATCTGTGAGTGCCTCCAGGGAACATAGCGAGGGAGCCTGTCTGAAGACGTCCCCGGCCTCTGTAAGAATTTGTAGACTCGACCCTAGTGTTGGAAGCCACTTAAAAAAAAAATCAAAAACCAAAACAAGCACTAGTCTCCTATCTTCTGTTATTCTGCAGTAATAATTCTTCAGATTTCGCCTTCTCTAAAAATGTTGGCGAGACTGTGTCTAAAATAAGACAAACGCTCTGTCACCCCTCCAGAAAATGTTTCAGAAGAAAGCAGTTCCAAAAGAACTTGATCAGTAATTGAGATCTGGGGGCACAGAGGCCCAGTAGGACCTGCTGCCCTCCCTTCTCAGGGAGCCCGTGGCAGCCGGAGCAGGACCTCAGCAGCCAGGCACGTGAGGTCAGCTCACGACAGCCACCGCCGAGCCCGGGGCCGCAGCGTGCGGGGGTGGGCAAGCGCGAAGCAAGGGAATCAGAGTAACACAGCTTCCATCCGACTCTCTCTTTCAGTCTTGAACGCAGTCCCTGGCCCAAGTCTAGATCTCTGTCAGCATGGGCAGCGCCCTCGGTAGGCCAAATCATGTTTCTTCCGCTTTGGAGGATCCTTTAGGGCAGATGTACTAAACTTAGTATTCAGATCCACATGTGAAAAAATATATTATCCTTAAGGAACCACTTTCTCATGTAAAATTGGTGATAGGTGTTTACTCATCAGTTCACGTGTTCTTACAAGGTCTAGAAACAAGGGGCTTGCTGGATGTTGTGCATGAGAATAAAGTTGATGTCTGTTTTCGATGTTAGTCACAAGTCAACTGTTAGCATTTGATGTGGACATTAGAAAAGCTTAAAAGTACAGAAAGTTAAACCTGAGCGCTCATATTCCTGAGCAGCACTTGGCCTGAAGTGATTAAATTTTCCACTTGTTTTCAGGAAATGAGTTGCAGTAGATTAGTACATGTTGGTTGGTTGGTTGGTTTAATTTTAACTAGTAGGAAAGGAGATGTTTTTGCATATAAATATCCTTTCTTTTTCT